GGCGCTGGCGGCCGGAGGGGAGCCCTCAGGGAGGCAGCGGGGGAGGCAGGCAGGCTGCTCCCGGCTGCAGGAGAAGTTGCCACCCTTCAGCTGTTCCGGCCTTTATAAAGGAGAAGGGAGAGTGCAAGAGGTGGGTGGAGACAGCCTTTCCTCCCCTGGCCCCGAGTCAGCGCCGGGAGGGGGGCAGGAGCCAAGGGAGGGCCTAAGGCGAGGACTGCAGCTTAAGGGGTCTCTGAGAGCCAGGCAGCCCCTCTAGTAGTAAATCTAGCCCTTTGGCAAGTACTGGAGGCGAACCAGGGCCCCACCCCTTGGCACAGTGACCTGTGTTTAGGGGCATGTCTGCAGGGCCAGGACCAAGACCAGGAGTGTAGCCCCTGAACCCCAGAACCAGACATCTGCAGCCTGGCAAAGGCATGATGATGAAGGACTGGGGCTCCGCAACCTGGCAGCTTAGATTCAGTTTCTGTCTAATTGAGTAGCTGGGTCACCTTGGGCAAGTCACTTTCTTCTGTGCTTCACCATACATTTCTTTAAGTGGGGACAGGGTATTGGGTGGCTTAAATGTCAAAATGATCAGAAAGCATCCAGCCACGCACCAGCCCCAAGGTTAAAACTCTTAAACCCACAGTGGGAACCCTTCAGCTCCAAACTGGGTCTGCCTCTCCTTGCTTATTGCCTGGCACACAGAAGGCGCTGCCATGCCAGCATGGGCTGGATTTGAATTTGTTGAACTGCAAAGTCACACAAACCCCCACAGCCCTGCAGCAAGCATCCTCACAAGGCTGCCACCAAGATGCCACCATCACCAGGGTGTTTACTACCTCCCTATGTCCCTCAGTTCCAGGCCCAGAGGCCACCCACCCACACCAGCACTCTCACAGTTAACACCTTCCACCCCCAGCTCGGGGAGCTGCTGTGTCCCTGCCTTCAGCAGTCACAGTGACACAGTCATACTCACGCTTGTTGGCCCAGCACCCACCACAAGACCAGCAGGCTCACTGCATTGCCTCCTGCCTTTAGGGCACCTTGTCCTCATCCACTTCTGCCTGTCATCTCTCCTTGGTCCCCATGTCAGCCTGCAACCCCACACACGCTGAGTGGTGCTACGGCCTCTCTTGGCCCTGAAGAGGGTGGTGCTGGGTGAGGGAGAACCTCCCAGACCTCTTTACACATGACTCCAGGCATCCACTTTCCCAAATGACCAGCTAGCAGAGTGGCCCAGTGGCTGAAAGATCACCGTGGGTAGGTGACCTTTGAGCGGGTTATTTACCCTCTTCAGTGGTACCTTGCTTTCCTCCTCTGTATCTTGGAGATGCAATTGGAGGAAAAGAGGAATTTCAGTGGAGCCTGGGAAAACCATAGGGGGTTGGAAGTGTTTGCCATCTTTGTGGTTGATGATAGGTCCATAGGATCGCGGGTCTAGGGGGTAGGTTTGTTGATTAAGTGCTTACATGAAGACCTGAGTCTGCTCCCCAGAACTCATCGAGAAAACTCAACAGAGCCGCACACACTTATAAGCCCATTGCTGTGGAGGTGGAGATCAGAGCTTGTCGGTCAGCCAGTCTAAACTAATCAGTGAACTTCAGACCAATAAGAGATTTTGTCTCAAAGGAGGTGGACTACCCAAGTTTCTCTAGTCTCCACACTCACCTGCACACATTTGCACGTGTGCACACACAACAACACACACACACACACACACACACACATTAACTTTGTTTTTTAACCCATACGTGCAGTTGGTTGTACCTCAGAGCAGTGAAAGGGGTTTGCCCTCCTCACAGGGTGGTAGGAAGCTCACAAAAGATACTCCTCCATAGGACCACCACTCAGGACAGACAGATGTGCCGGGAGACAAGATGGCCAGCCTGATTGTGAGGAGATAGTCCAGCACACTGATCCCATGTCAAGATTTAAAAATGCTTCCACCAGACAGCTGGGTGAGCTCCCCCTTACCATGTTCCTTTCTGGGAATACAGTGATAGAGCCACCATTGAGTGGAGCATACACACCCCCTTGGTGCTTCTGGGAGATATGTTAGTCCATTGGTACCAGCCTGGACTCAGCGGCTTGGACCAGATCACGTGATACCAGTAAGTGGTGGAGCCACGGCTTGGGCTCCAGAGTCCAGCTACAGAGCTCAAATCTGTAACCCACCATTCTGTACTATTTTCTGCAGGTAATGGGATGATGGCCACGGTGGCACTATAATTTTTTTTATGTATGTGTATAGTTTTGTGTGGGTATGTCACATGCGTGCAGTAACCATAGAAGCCAGGAGAGGGCGTCAGAGCCACTGGGCCTGAAATTACACGAGCCACCATGGAGGTGCTGGGAATTGAACCCCACTCCTCTGGAAGAGCAGCAACGTCCTTTAATCTCTCTAGCCCCGCCCCCCACACCCACAAGGGCATTTTTGCACAGAGGCAGGAGAGGCAGCAGGGACAGCAGGTGCTGAGATGACTGCTCCTTGCAGGGGAGCCTCTCCCAGGACCGCCCTCTTCTCTCTCTCACTAGGATCGACAGACACAGCAGGCACCTCTTCCAGGAAGCCTGTCAGGCTTGACACTTGCTCCGGGCTCTCTGTATGCTCCCCCACAGAGTTGTCTGGACACTGCTCTTGTATCAGGACAAAACTGAGTTGAGCATAAATCGAGGTGCTTGGTGAGTATCTGCTGGTGCAGTAAATGAACGAGCCGATACCTTGCCTGTTTCCCCCTCTCCACCCTGGCCAGAGACATCTTGTGCGGAGACACCGAACCCTTCCTAAAAGGTGGCATGCTACAAAACTCAAGCACAGGGGATCCGAGATCTAAGGTGTATCCCGTCCTGTCTATCCATCTGTGTCACCTGCCCCTCTGCTGCCGCTGCCATTGTTACCAGAGGTGGATCTGGAAGTCTCAGAACTGGGAAGACAAGACCTGAATTCTGCATTAGGGTCAGGAAGGAACCAGATTCCCCTGTCAGCTCAGACTAGAAATAGGAATTGACTTTGGAGTGGGGGGGGGGCCTCACCCACCCCACACTCTGACCCACCCATATGAGCTAAGTGGTGTAGTGACTGCCAGACCTCTAAGTGCTGGGGTAGGTTTGCCCACAACGGGGGACTTAGCCAACTTTAGGGTGGTCTCAGCCCTCGTCCACTGAAACCATCTGCCTTAGTTTGGTTTCTGTTGTGGTGATGAAACACCGTGACCAAAAGCAGTCAGTGTGGGAAGGAGAGGGTTGATTTGGCTTTCACAGCCTGATCACAGTTCTCCACTGAAGGAAGTCAGGGCAGCAACTCCAGGCAGGGTCCCGGAGGCAGAAACTGATGCAGAGGCCGTGGAGAGGTGCTGCTTACTGGCTTGCTTCCTTGTGGCTTGCTCAGTCTGCTTTCTTTTACAACCCAGGCCTACCTGGTCTAGGTGGCACTGCCCACAGTAGGCTGGGCCCTCCCACATTAATCATTAATCAAGAATATGCCCCACAGACCCGTCTGACGGAGATGTTTTCTCAGCTGAGGTTCCCTCTTCCCAGATGTTCCTAGCTTGTGTCGAGGGGACAAAAAAACTGACCAGAACACCATCTACACCTGGGTGTGGTCTCCTGAGGCCTGGCTGGAGCTAGGAGATGTCAAGGAAGAAGGTGGCTCCTTCCCAGGGTCTCTACCTTCAACAATGCGTGGCAGCCATGCTTTTCCCCATTACAAATGAGCTTGCATCCAAGCCCTGAACCGTGCAATGGCAATGCCCATGCACTGCCCCACTGTGTATGGCAGCCATCCCCTGCCTTCCTGTGGAAGAAGCCTATGGTAAGATCAATGGGGTCTCCTCCCTGTTCTGCCTCACCTCAGAGCTGCCAGATGGGGAGAGAAGGCTGTCACCCACACTCATTTTACAGACAAGAGACCAAAAAGTCAAGCCTCCATGGAAAGACTGCCTAGATCTAAAGTCCACTTACTCGCTGTGGGACCTTGGGAAAATTACTTAACCTCTCTGAGCCTCAGTTAACTCATCTGTAGCTGTGGGTACCAGTAGTAAAGTGATAGACTCCTCATTGGTTAAAATGACTTCACACACGCGACCACTGAAGGTGCAGCATGGGCACTGTACAAATACAGACCTTTATAACACTAAGGTGGTGCATGTGTGCACACACCCACCTCCAAACCCAGCATCCAGTGTTAGGAAAACAGTCCACGGTTGGAAGGAGCATAGGCCTCCAGAAATGGGAGCAGCTTGTCCTCGTGTAGGGCCCGCGCTTTTCTGTCAGATAGATACTCCCTTCTTCCATGAGGCTCTGGGCCCTGTGCTGTGAGTCTTAGGGTGCAGGGAGCCCAGAAAACCAGGCAGATGGACCATGGGTCTAGGCTACCCACAGGAGCCTACCCTGCCGCCTTGGGCCTGTCAGGTACACAGGGCAAGGGAAGCCAGTGTTTGTTTACGCCACCAGCCAGAGCCGAAACATTTTTAGATCCTCCAGGCTCCAGACAAGGAAAAGGATGTGAATGTTTGGACCAGCAAAGCAGAGCTACCTACCTGGAAATGGCTGGAAGAAGCCGAGTCCTCCAGTGTCGCGGAGCCGGCCCAGATGGCTGGGAGGAGGCCCACCCACGGCTTTCTTACTGGAGTGAACAAAGGTCCCTTCTCCCTGGAGAAGACACCCCCCCACAAGCTGCGCCCGTGCCAGGGTTGGGGCACCAGCAAAGTACAGGCTCAGGTCAGCCTGGAGGCACTTCCTGGACCTCTGTCATGGCTGCCTCAGCTGTAGACCACAGCGGGGGGTAGGGCAGCTGTGCCCCTGGAAAGCAAGGACAAGGAGATGGCTGCATCCACCCTGAGCCCTGTTCCATGGTGCCTCCCATGTTGCCTGGCTCAGGGTGGCCCAGCTTTGGTATATTGTGGGGTGCAGAAAATCATATGTGCTCCATGGAGGGTCCTATTAGAAGTGAAAAGTCAAGGATTCAGTGTACCCCAGGACTCGCCCAGGGCAGGGAGCCACTTACTGGAGAAACGCACCTCGAGGGAGAAGCAGTGTTCTGGGGATGGGTTAGCCAGCTCTCTCTAAATCAGCGTCATCAGCCATGTTCTGAACATTCTGGAAGGAATGGGGCAGGAGGGAGGGACAGAGGCAGCCCCTCTTGGTGGGGTACCAGCTTGCTTGACAGAACTGTGTGTAACTGTGGCGGGCCTGTGAAAAGAACAGGAAGCCTGTTACAACATAAAAGTCACCGATTTCCCATCAAAGGCTCACACTCTGAGGCCCAGTGCTCAGCAGGCAGCTTGCCCCGAATTCTCTGTGCAGTCACTCATTCAAGCTGCTCAGCCTGCAAGAGCAGGGTGTTCTCACAGGTAGGGACACCGAGGCCCTTAGCAGCCCTGCCAAGGTGCAGCCTATGCTGTGGCCCCTGCCTGTCCACCTGGGCTCTACCCTCCCCCCTCCCCCACTTTTGTGGACTGTCTCTGTACCTTCCCCTTGTACGCGCAGCAAATAAACAAAGCCTTTAAAAGAAAGATGTGTGTTTATTTTAAAGTGTGTGTGTGTGAGAGAGAGAGAAACAGACAGACTGTGTTTGTGAATGTCCGTGCCCTTGAGCTTCAGAGGCCTCAGATTCCCCGGAGCTGGAGTTAAGGCAGTTGTGAGCCACGTGATGGGTGCTGAGAACAGAACCCAGGTCCTCTGTAAGAGCAGTAGACACTCTTTACTGCTGAGCCGTCTCTCCAGCCCCTCCTAAAGTCTTTTTGTTTTCTTTCTTTTTCCTTTTTTCTTTCCTTTTTCCCCCTTGAGACAGGGTGTTACTATGTAGCCCAGGCTGGCCTTGAACTCACAGAGCTCCTCCTACCTCTGCCTTGGCAGCACTGGGATTAAAGATATTCACCACCGTGCCCACCTGGAGTCTTTTTAAAATTTTTTTTAAAGGAATGAAACCGATTTCATTTTTTTAGGGAGGTTGGTTGGAGACAGAGTCTCTTGTAGCCCAGGCTAACTTCTAACTCACTGTGGAGTCAAGACATCTTGGAACTCTCAAGTCTCCCACTTTTACTTCTCAATGCTGGGATGAAAGGCACGGACGACTATGCATGGCATTTTTATTTGGGGGACAGTGGTTTTGGGGGGTGTGGTTTTGCAGTCTGAGGTATATCATCAAGACTCACCTGGAACTAGCCAGGATTCAGACTAGGAATCCACCTGCCTCTGCTCCCCAAGTGTTGATTACAGGTGTGAACCACCACATCTGGAAAAATACACTAAATTTTTTATGGTTTGCCCAGTCACGTGGGGAAAGCACATTATCCCTGTGGACCAGACAGGAAAGTAGAATCCGGCCTTGGAGGAGCAATGCCAGAGACATCAGTGTCCTTGTCTGTAGAATGGAGATGCAGACACTGAGTGCCAGCAATGTGGTACCATACCATAGGGCTTCCTCATAAAGATCTGGGCATGACCCTGCCAGCTCACTCTCAGGACTGTCCGCTCTGTACTGGGGTCTGGAGGGTGGTTTACAGACTCAGAGAGCCGGAAATATCTAGATGATGGTACAGCTTGCGTCAGGTAGCCGGGTGACCGGTGGTCTCCGTGACCTCCACTGTCGGGGTGCAGTGCAGGAAGGAGATAGGCCCCAGCCATTGAGTGAGCTGTCAGTGGAGTCCCAGAAGATGGACTTCTCATCCCCTCCCCTTTCTCCTGCCCCTCGTCCCTCCTTGTGCCTGGGACTCTTTGGTACCTCCTTTATTCTACCATGGCTGCAAGCAGCACCCCTCAGGTCCCAACCTTTTGACCAGGACTTGTCCCATTCTGAAGCCAGCCACATTAGCGATGGTGTTGGGTTAATGGAATGAATGGAGGCAAATGTGTGGCACCAGCATACACAGAAGGGAACTGTGGTCACTGTCCCTCACTAAGGTTTCTGGGAGATTCTCTGCTGCTTAGAGTTGGATCTAGGCTTTAATACCCAGGACTCCCCCTACTGTGCTCAAAGGAGGAAGAAGAAGAATGGTGTGGAGAGATGTCTCAGTGGTTAACAGCACAGACTGCCCTTGCAGAGGACCCAAGTTCAATTCCCAGTGCTCCTTCACCCCCAGAGGATCCATGGCCCCTTTATGGCCTCTTAGGGCATCTGTACTCAAATACTTGTGCATCCACGTACATATAACTAGAAATGAAATAAATCTTGGGTACAGCGACACACAACATTTAACTCAGCACGGGGGGGGGGGGGCAGAGGTGGGTAGATCTCTGAATTCAAGGCTACTTTGGTCTACAGAGTGAGTTCCAGGACAGCTAGGGTCACGTGGTATGTGCGCTTAAATGCAGAACTCAGGAGACAGGCAGGCAGATCTCTGAGTCTAAGGCCAGCCTAGTATAATAGCAAGTAACAGGTCAGCCAGTGTGACCCTGTTTTCACAAAAAGAACTGGTCTACAGAGCAACTTCCAGGACAGCCAAAGCTACACAGAGAAACCCTGTCTCGAACAACAACAAAAGTCAAAGACATGTTGGTTTAGTTTGCTTGTGACCGTCTAGCTTGGTAGCCAAGGCTATCTTCAAACTCTTGGTCCTCTTGCCTCAACCACCTAATTGCTGGGACTACAGGCTTGCACCATCACACCCTGTCAGGAAGACAGACAGATCCTTCTTTAGATGATTGAGCTATTTCCCTTGTGGAATAGCTTGGGTGTGCTGGGAGGGTAAGCATGCCTCTGCGACATGGTCTGAATGGGTCTGTGTGCATCAGAGTACATGCTGGGAAGAAGTGAGACCTTGAACACCCAGGGATGGCCAGGCTGGCTAGTGGGTCCCCATGTACAGGCACAGAAGGTCTTCCAATCCGGGAAGACCACCTCAGGGTGGAGAATGACACCTCAGCCTCCACACTCATCTCCCCTTCATCTCCCGCCATCCCCCCACCTCCCCAGCTTCTTCCTGTTTTGATGGAAGGAAAAAATTTTCAGCTTTTTCCTTCTTTATTTTTCCAGACGGGTGACTCGCTCAGGAGAGGAATTCCCCCCTCCCCAGTCCCCATCCCCTGTCATCCTATGCATCGATACCATAGGTCCGGCCCATCCTGTTGTGCTGGGACAGTCATGTCTATTTTTGGGTGCTTTATGGGGGTGGCGCCTCAGGGGAGGGGATGTGGGGGTGCCTCGGCAGCCTCCTTCCAGTCCCTTTCCCCCTTCCAGGTTCCTCTCCACCCCCACCCATCCTCTGGCCGGCCAGGCTCTGGGAGGAGGGAAGGAAGCCTGCTTAGCCTGGGTATAAATAACTCAGGTGGTTACTCAGCCCTGCGAACATGACAATGTGAGTCACCGTGTGAAATCCAGAGGAGCAGCGAGCAGCCTCGGAGCCTCCCAGGGCAGGGTTTGGGCTGCACGAGGGCAGAGTGGTACCCGGTACCCGGGGACCTGCACCGCGGGGCGCTGCCCGGCAAAGCCTTCGAGCAGGGTGTGGTGCCAGACCCTCAGGATTCCTCTTTAGGATTTCGAGGGGAGTGGCTTCATTTCCAAGGTCCCGTCTGAGCCTGGGAGCTGGCGGGAGGCAGGACCAAGCTCTGAGCATCACCACGTCCCCTCCCCCTGCCTATCAGAAGCCAGGATATAGAGCAAGTCTACTGGCCTCCCCTATTTCCAGGGCAACTGGGCCAAGCAGTGGACTTGTGGAGTGGGAGTGGGGACTGGACTGGAGGAGGAGGGTCTCAATACTTGGCCCGCTGAGTCTTCACCCCTGAGATTAGCTCTAAATGAGAACAGCAATATTACCACCTTCCTTTGGAGGCTGACTGTAGTGTGGGTGCAGAAACAGGACACCCTGAAGGATGTGTGACCCAACAGTAGGATTAGCCTGGGCAGACAACAGTGGGACCCAACTGGGCAGCCTGCTGGGCTGTAACCCATTCCTCAGCTTTGGCAAGCTAAGTCAGGGGCACCCTAGCCCCAGCTTCACCATCTCCAGAGCCACACAGGTCTGGAACATCGTTGCCATGGCAATAGGTTTGGGTGCCTAGGAAGGCCCAGCTTCTTCCGTCACTCTGCCTGACAGGCCTGGAGCAGGCAACAGGACCATGAGGTCAAGGAGACAACTAACACCTCCCCCAGGAGGAGAGTATCAGGCCAGGGACACTGTCGGGATAGTCCGGCCTAGAGCAAGCAGGACACTAGGGTATCTATCCATGAGGCCTTGGATGCAGTGTCCCTGGATCTGAGCCTGAGATCTCTCACCTGGACAATGGCAGAACAAGGTAGAGAATCATGACCTTCCTAGCTGTGACTTCACGAAGCTAAGAGTTGGAGATGAAGATCTGAAAACCGCCAGGGCTCCTCTGAAAAACTCCAGGGCATCTCCCTCCCACCGTTGAGCTTAGTCCAAAGGGCAGTGCTCCCCGAGCCCAGAACCTACCTCGCTCTACCCTGACCTCAACCCAACTTCTTCTCCAGCTCCATCTTGACCCCCAACCCTGCTCTCACCCCAGCCACCACCCCCCTGTGCCAGACAACTTGGCATGAAACAGGACTTGCCCTTTAGCAGGCGGCCTGCCCTCTGGTCCCTCACGAACAATAGGGACTCCAGGAATATTGTCTACCCGGACTGAATCAAACACTCTAAATTTAGTCTGTCTGATGCACCCTCTGCTTCCTGCCCCTGTTGCCCTCCTTTCAAGGCTATGAGGTCACCCCGGAACTGCATGCCTTGGCAACCAGACCCAGGGGGTTTCCAGGTCCAGGGCACTCTCCTGCTCTTGGGAAATGGACCATGGGGGTAAGAGGTCCTGAGACTTTCCCCTTGCCCCACCCTGAATCTCAGGAACTTCTCCAAAGTGATTTAGGGATAACCCATGCTTGCAGAAGCCAGCACCAGGGAGAGACTGGGAGCGGAAAGCCGAAAACGACCAGGCTTTGCCCCTGCCCTGGAGGTGACAGCCTGAAGGAAGGACAGTCAGCAAATAAACAGGAGTGAGCAGAGCTAAGTCAGCAGCGGTGTCAGGGTGGCAGAAAGGACGCACACCAGAAATCTGATCGACAGACACGGAGTGGGTGGAGGCCTTGGCTTAAGAAAGAGGTCAGAGCAGGCTTCTGGGAGGGTGATATTTGAGCTGAGGCTTGAATGCCCAGGAGGCTGAAGTCCTAGGTTGGGCTACTCCCTGAAGGCCGGAGGAGGCTAAGTGCAGAGTTCAGCAGGGAGACACTTGCCCGGTTGAGACACAGCGAGGACACCAGTGTGACTGGGTGGCAAGGGTGACGAGGGAAGAAAGAGCGACACCCCCATGATGAGGTTGAAGGGCTGCGATCGTGACAGGTTGGGCAAGTCTAAGCCCCCGTAGCTCAGACCAAGAGCATCTGGCATTCTAAACTGGCCGATGGAAAGCACCTTCTCAGGTACCTGCTTTGGTTGGTCCTTGAGTCACTGATGAGAGAGGGCATGTGTCTTGCCCAGTCACACAGTAAATCAGTCTCTTCCTATAACACTTTGGACAGTAGGAAGAATAGGAGGCGCTGGCCACCTGGCCTCTGCCCAGTCCTACTGAATCCACAGCGGAAGAAGCAACCCCTGAGATCCATCTGGTGGATGAGAGGGGTCTGCCCCTCCCCCACGCTCCTCACATTGCTACCCTGAGCATCCTGAAGCCCCTGCTCTCCCATGTTGCCAAGAATCTAAGGTTGGCAGGAATGTGATGGGGTGCGGGGGGGGGGGGGCGTGCGTTCTGGAATGTTGCTTCCTAGTGCCAGCACCAACGTGCCAGCCTCACCAGAGGCCTCGGGGGCGGATAGGGGATCACCAGAACTTGTCTGGAATGGGGAGCTGGCAGCAGTGCCACCATGGGAAGGCAGGGCCCTGCTTGCCTGCCGAAGCGCGAGTGGAGACGTCCCCTTTTGAAACTGTTCCACCTGACCTCTCCTGCTTACCATGTAGGGTGACTCAGGAGTGCCACCTCGGTGCCTCTTGGGTCACACGTGAAACCCGACGCCAGGGAAGGTGAAGGGCTCCTGGAAACCTTCTAGACACTGTCTAGAGAAGAAAGCTTTGGGCGCAGGTCCCCCCTGAACTGTGATCATCTGTCTGACCTTGTTTCTCCACGGCTGCCCCAAGGTTCTGAGTGAGCACTGAACACCAGGACTCAGATCTTGCCCTGGCCTCAGCATACTTCAGTGTCCTTGCCATGCTCCCTGTGTCCCCACTGCCCCACTGGGTGTCTCCTCTCCCCGGAGAGGCAGAAGTCTTTGTGAGCGAGGATGAGGAATGGATATCCCAGGAAGGCAGAACATTACAGTTGCAGGAGGTGGCAGATTACCTGGTGAAGGCATCAGCTCGAAAGCCCAGAAGACTTCACTGTGAGCCCTGACTCCTCCACGGTCAGCTGTGTGGCCTTGGCAAATTACTAACCCTCTCTGAGCCGCGGCTTCCTCTTGTGTGCAGGGATAACAATTACCATGAACACACCAGGGCTTGTGGGCTGTAGTTTTTACTGTGGAACCATTAGCTAATAGGGAAAGGAGGATACTGGGAGGAGGGCATGTCCCCATTGGTCAGGGACTGTTAGGGACTTGGGGAGGGGCAGCTCCCCTACCCCACCCTAAAAGTGCAGTGAGAAGTACTGCCCCACCCCCATACTGTTAGCCCAGAAGAGGCTGAGGG